ATATATTTTTTGAATTCGAGGGAGTGAATTGGTGAGAACTATGAAATATAAGTTGGAATCATGTCATGAATGGCCAGCGCTCGCTGCATAGGACAGACAGACATACTTTGCTAGTATATATGCATCCCTCGGCTGGAGTAGAACTCGAACCAACCACAGCGACAGCCAAAGCTGCACCGTTTGAAGCCGTAAGTTTTTTTATACTCGGGGAACCTCGCCATCCATCGTCATTGGCCCATAAACCTCTTAAGCTCTTCCAACTTCTTTTTCTTTCTTTTGTATTATATCGTATCGACATCCCGTAATAGTTGGCACCCCCCCCCTCCTCCACCACTTCCTCATCCCTCCAATTGCATTTGCACACTTCCGATGGCTAGCTGCGAGCGGAGACTGGCGGAGAATAACATTTTTCTGGTCTTGTCTTGTCTTGTCTTTCTTTCTGTTTCTACCCATTGGAGATGATCGATGGAAGAGGGTTTCGGAGGGGGGTGTAGCCCTTTATGATCGATGATAGAGGAAGAGGGTGTTCAGGTCCTGGTCTGTCCGGGTATAAATAGGGCAGCTGGAGGCCCCCTTGAAGGGAGGATGACCTTTCCCTCTCCCTCTTCTTCTTTTCTTCTGTATCTTTCTCCTCGGATCCGTCTTTAGAATATTAATCTTGAAGTAGATTATATTTTATATCTTTTACTATATTTTATTTTATTTTATTTTATTTTATTTTATTTTATTTTATTTTATTTTACCGTGGCTCGTGGTACACACTGCAGACTACACACTTACCTTTAAACTTCTACTCGTTTGACATTTCCTCGTGTCGACAAACCAGCTCCATTCCGTTCCATTACTGCTGCTTCCTCGGATATACACTCAGGAGAATCAAGATATTCTGAATCCAGCTCCCGCAATTGCCCAGACCAAACCCGCAGAACAGTATTTAGGACTGTGACACCGAAGCTGTCAAGACCAGATCCTCGCCTAAGCCTGTCCCCGGTCAGAGCCACTTTTCTGCCATCGACAACGCAGCGGTCCATTCGCTGTATCACCGCCAGTTTTTGGGAAGACTTTAAGCTTATCCGCTGGAGCAAACTTTGCCAGCTCGAGATATAACAAATCATACATACATACTACATTACATACTGCGTGCGTGCCGTTCGCCACCCGGCTGTATATTTGATCAGAGCGAACAGCACATCAAAAGAAGACACTCGAATCCGAAACGAAACCGTTTTTTTTCTTGTTCTTTCTTGTTTTTTAAGAAAGAAGAGACAATTGATTGGGTGCTTGTTTTTTTTTTGAGCATTCCTGCGGCATTTCCCGCCTAAGCCCCCAATAAGAATTAGTTATTTTTATTTTTATTTTTTGTATTTTTTTATATCGCCAACTTCTCTCTTCTCTCTCTTTTCCCTTCCTATTTCGAAAACTATCTGCAATGACAGACACCTACTCCCTCCCCCTCCCAATGTCGCCACGAAAACCTCTCCACCCCTCCGTCGCCTCCTCCTACGAATACGCCTACTCGACTCCTCCATCGTCATCTTCGCAGGGTGTGGTCCCCATCCCACGTGCAGGACATGATGCCCGGAGAACTCCGTCATATGCTACATCCAGTTCGATATCGAGTAGCTCCTACGCCGGTAGTGCGGCCGATGAATTTGAAGATGGGAGCATGGAAACCAATGATTTGGTTACCGTTTTGACGGATAGATTGGTGGCGGCGTTTGATCCTATTCCCTTGGATAGGAGCTTGGTCGTCCAGGCGCAGACGTGAGTATTGATTCTCTGTTTTTTGGGGTCCTTAGGTCCCCTTTTTTTCGGTTCAACGATCATGGGGATGGACGGCGGTTCTGGGGGGTTTTTGTGGGGGATTAGGCTAATATGGAATTCTGTCTACAGATCGGGCATGTTAAACGCGAAAACACGGGAATTGATGGAACTCCAAGCGATGGCGCAGAAGCGACTTGCTGAAACGAGAGCGAATTTCTTGGATGGGATGAAGGTTGCTAAGAAGGTTAAAGGCGATTTGGAGTGGTTACAGAAGAAGACTGAGTATGTAAAATTTCCCTTTCTAGCTTTGGTGTCCAGTGGGAGACTAATCGCTTGGATATAGTGCGCTTAAAGCGAAAGCCGAACAGCGGTATCCGGTGGAATATAATATGGCTAGGGAGAGATACCCTGGACCGGCGGACTACGAGTATTAGATTACTCGAGCTCTCCTTCTGGACGATACATATTCCTTCGCAGTACGACTTCGATATAGATTGTCGGTATATACGATTCTATGGGTGTAAATACCCCTCCCCGTCGTCATCATCACCACCTATATCAATAACCTCAGCAGCGATTCTTATTTTTTTAAATCCATGAATTGCTTAAATTTTCCTTCGCCTTTATTGCCTCTATCATTCAGTGTCCGCATTCTGAGCGCTGCAACATTATAACGCCCCCTTTACGAAACAAAAAGAACGCTTTGGTTTTTGTTATTCTTTTTCTTTTTCTCGAGCAATTGGGTTATTATCGTTCTTTATCTGGCATGCAGGAGTTTTGTCTTTTTCCGGGTTCTCCTTTATTTTTCGAACACAATCGCGATTTTGGTGTTCTTCTTTTCCCTTGTCCTGCCGGCTCTAGTTTTTCCTCTTCTCCTTTTTTTATGGTCAATTGATAGTTTTTTTGAAGGAAACGTTAAACGGAGGGGTACGATATGATACATTTTGATATGGAAAGTTCAGGACTTCTTTTTTCGGTTGTACGATTCATATATTTGGAACTATGGCATAGGTACTTGAGCGCACGGGGTAGTTAGTGGGGGTTTTTCATTTTCATTATGGGTGTATACACTTTTTTTATATTATTAATTGATATATATTCCATCTAATTTTATACGAAGGGGGTGCCTTTTGGAGAGATGCGTTGTAGAGGAGGTTGGAATAAGCTTTATTTCTGGACTAGAGGAAATGACTAGAACTAAAAGGTTACCGTGGGTAGACTATAATTTGATGTAGAACGCTGATCTGGAAGGGTGGGTGGTTTTGGTTTGGTTCTGTAGTGTGGTTTCATATCGGAGTGGGTTGGTTGAGGGTCGTTTGTTTTAGTGGTTGTGCGGATTGATCGATGGGAGGCGATTGACCAGTAGGAGGGTTCTTTTGTTTCTTTTTCTTGGAGTGGTAGAGGGGGAAGGCACGTGAGGGGACTTGTGGGTGGTTTGGAGGATGGGATTTGGGGGGGTCATGTGATTTGGTATTGTTTGGTATGGAATCGTGTGGTGTATCTGGTTTGAAGGATGGTAGATGTTGGTGGATATGTTTTGAGGGTGTAGTGGGTTATGCGTTGGAGTGGAGGTTGGTGGTTACACAGGTGGGGGTATGGGATGGTTTTGGGGTTGGGTGGTAGATTGCTTTTTTGTTACTTAGTGGTATATACTATTTATGAGAAGCTAGTACATGGATCTTGTGGGACTAGACGTTGATGCTGAGTATAGCGGGAGAATTGAAGGACTGAGATAGTCTGTCTTTGCCCTTGGGTAAAGATTTGTGGCTTCTGTGGTGGTAGGGCAATTTGGTTGTGAGGGTTATGGATTGGTGTGGTATCGTAGGAGTTTTGTATCGCCCGGTTTATTAGATAAATCCAAGGGCTTGATTATGAGGTTGGTTGTGTCCATGGTGGGTATGGGGAGTTTAAGCCCTTTTATGGTAGTCTTCGGCCACGTAAGACTGAGGGTCTTTGTTTGGGTATGTATCCCTCGATCATGGACGTTCAAATCCTCCACAAATGATACCCTTTTCGAGTCTTTTTAGATCTCGTATTGCTCTTCAAGCGGGGGGTATCTGTATACTCCACCCATATATTCAATTCGCATGTTATAACTTTTCCCCATTCGTTCTTTTGATTTCCCATATCGAGAGGGAAAATATCAATCATCCCCCAGATCAATCTCGTCTGCGTTCCAACCACCGCCATCTGCTGCTTTATCTTCTGGTTTATCGTACCAATTGCTTTTATCTTGTTCTTGGTAGTCCCCGCTGGTGCTGGAAGTTTGTCCCATCCAGATATCTCCGGGTGTGGTATTAGTCGATTGTTGTATGTTTTTCTGTGATTGTTGTTTTTGAAGCAAGGGAGCCCAGGGATCTTCGTTCATGGACGGTTTGTAAAGCCCTTCTCCGAATTCCTTGGATCGGTAGGAAGGAGTTGCTGTGTTTGAAAATTCTCGTTCTTGATGACCTTGTTGGTGGTGGTGAGAGTCGTGGGACTGACGGTGTGGGTATGGATGGTGATGTCTTCCACCTCTGCCGCCACGTTGATATTGCTGTGAACCCGAATGGAAGCCACGACGGTGAGGACCTCCTCCTCCATATCCTCCTCCTCCTCCACCACCACGTCCACCTCTATTATCGAACCCCCCTCTGTTATAATTCCCACCACCCCTACCACCTCTCCCACCACCACCGCCACGGTGGAATTGTCCACGGTTATTACCACGAAACCCCTGTTGACCCTGCTGCTGGTGGTGATCACCCGCTTGCGGTGGTCGTGGGGGTAATGACGTCGGTAACGGGGTGGGATTCGCGTGGATTGGAGCCGTTTGGTGGTGTTTTGGGGTTTTACCGAAGGAGGTGAAGCCCATCGAGGAGAGGTCTGGGTCTGACATTTTGGCGATCGTGAGGAGGTATTTTCGGGGTTGGAGGGATTTGGTGATGGTTGTGATGATGGGTTTGAGGTGGGACATTGGGAGGGATGGTTTGGGCTGGTGTTTGGGTGCGACGGGATGGTGGTGGGTTGTCACGTGATAGTAGTGGAGGGACTTGGCGTGTGGTTTTTGGGTGGAAAAAATTTGTGCTCTTGTGGGTATTTTGATGAGTGTTAACAGAAAACTATAGCTAAGGAATGGTATAAATAGGAAGCTAAAAATCAATATTAACTTCCTCCTGGAGAAAAGTTTCTAATCCGGAGGGGCAAAAAAAACCAAAAGGTAGAGGATATTAAAAAAGGGAAACCAAAAAGAAATACACCCACTGCAAGACTCGAACTTGCAGCCTCCTGATTTGAACCCTTGAAAGGATAGAAGTCAGGTGCGCTAACCATTGCGCCAAGTGGGCGAGGTTGTGGTGGTTGTTTCGGTCCCTGCGGCGTTGATGGGCATGGTGTGTAACTTATTTTGAGTAGGTGGGATTCTTTTTTGGGGGGAGTGGTTTGGGAGTTGCCGGATTGGGGTTGGGGGTTGTCTGGTGAGAAGTTTGGGGGTTGTATATGGTGTCTTTGGTGGTAATGTTAGGTGTGGGCGGTTAGAGGTCATGGGAGGGTAGTCTTGTGGGTCTACTGTCAAGGTTTCATTAGTTGGGGAGACTTCAATGCCGAAGTAGGTATTACCACCTGTGGGGCGAGGTTTTCACAATGGCGCTCGTGGCTCAGCAGGTATTTTTTTCGGTGGAGGCGTCGACGGAGATCGCTTCTTTTAGTAGGAGCTCGTATTTAATGGGTTACATATCGGGCAATGGTTTATTTTTAAACAGACGAGGTGTGCACGTTATCTGCCCTTTATCGTCGGGTTTTATAATGACTGTTCTGTTTTGAAATCGTGTCGGGAAGCTAGCTCTTCTATATCAGGTGGGCTTTAAAACCCGTAATTTGTCCCTCCGGATTTTTCGTGGAGCGAAGGCCTAGGGCGTTACGTATTGCGCTAATTCTTCCATGAGCTATCAGTTTATAGCAGGCGGAAAAATATCTTAGATAGCCGAAATTTAAAGAAGTAGCCTGGTCTCCGGACGAAGAAGATCCCTGTGCGGGGTCTAGGGACGAAGCTACCAGGCTCTAGTTTTTGAAGATATCTCTTTTTAGGAAGCCGATTTTTATAGTCTGGGTTTCGAGTAGATCTAGCCGCCGTCGAGTCATGGTGTAGTGACTGAGAACAATTGAGACTGGTAACGGCCATCGTAGTGGCTCGATCTTAAGGCTCTTCATTCCTTGCAAGTTGGGGTCTGGTTATGAGACTAATGCTGTCTCTAAGCAAAGTCCGAAACCCATTGTGAATAATCTCAAATATGGGCGCCCGAGGCAGGGCATCGTCACGTTGCCCCCGAGGCGTCGTATACTACAAGACTACAGCATCATGAAGTTGATACGTATTTGTGTTGCATGTTGCAAATTAAGGTGACACAAAAGCCACATCACTAGCCACAGATTTGACAAGCGAAAAGCCAAGACGCAATCGAACTTTTGAAGATGTGGCGCCGTTAAAGCTTGAGCCAATTTCACAGTCATGAACCACACACGGTTTTTGGGAACCTGGGCTTGGAAGCAACCATCGCTCCATTGGAAGGCAAGCTCTTTTTTACACGACACAATTGATATCGATAAACAGCCGGCTGCGGCTTCGAGGTTACCTTCCTTTTTTTTTTTACCCATCGAAGCATGCTTCCTCCCATCCGACAAAGATCAATATTAAGTCCTAAAACGAAATCACACGGTTGATAGCAACTACGAACCATCTACCCCAGAAAACGAGAGAAAGCGACAAGATTACCAATTCAGGGAGCAAAAAAAAGCGAAGATGTTACTCAAAAATATCGATCTGAATTTCTATCCTTCTATTCCTCAAAATTACAAAGCTTCGCAAGATGGACAACTCTGCATCCCCGCGGGACCTGTCACATACATTTTGACGAACTCGGTTCTCAACCCCGGACTTGTTTCTAACCCCCCGGTTCCATCGAAGTTCAAGCCGGGTGATGAGAATAAAATTGACTACAGGAGTTCCGAGAACCGGGCGGATTGGAAGGGGTATGGGAATGACAATGATGGAGAAGGTGGTAGCGAGTATGAGGAGAGTGAGGAAGATGGGGAGGAGGAAGGGGAGGAAGACAAAGAGGGAGATGTGGAAGAAGATAAAGCTCGCCCAGAGTTTCAGTTCCATTGGCAGAAACTAGAGATCCTGCAGGACGAGGAGGCAGGAGACGTTATGAAGGGGGGAGGTAAGCTCTTTTCTGCTAAAAAACAGAGCAAAGATAGGATGCTGATTGTTACTCTGAGTAGTGAGCTTCCAGTTGGACCAAACTTTTAAAGAGGGATATGCGAGACAGCTGGAGTGGTCCCCACTTGGGGCTGGAACACACCGAAGGTATGCTTCTTTATATCTAGGATTGCTGCGCTATACTGAAGCGGTTCTAGGTGCTCTCTGTCCATCCTGACCTCCTCTCGGCAGGTCTTGATTTACCAGCCTACAACTGTTATTGGACATGGGCTAAAACTTCAAATGAGGCTTTTGGATCGATTGATCGATCAAGACGTTCCTGGAGATGAAGTCGTAGAGATTACATGGGATAAACTTCCGAGAGGTTTGAAAACACTAAAATCCCGATGGCCGGTTTAGTACTAACTGGGAAACAGAAATCTGCTGGTCACACCTATGTACTTTCCAAGTATATCGGTGGGGAATTCCGATCTTCACTATGGTTGATGAGAACAATGAAATCTCATTTATTAAGATCATCGACCAAGACGTGAAGCTTCTTCTTAAGGTTACACCCGATCTACCAGAAGGCTCAAGAATTGTCAATATGCGATGGTCACCCTGGGTTATAATGAGCCCTGAGGAAGGTTTGTCAGATTGACCTGCTGGGTGCTTGGTATATGTGCTAATCCGCCTTAGGAATCGCGTTCTTTAGCTTCATTACCAGAGATGGAGTGTACATTATGAAGATGGTCCTGTCTAGGATCTCTGGGCAGCCAGTGCTTTCCTGTGACCCCAAGCCCACGTTACTTAGTCCAGGTCCATTACCGGGTTATGAACCCCATGCTATACTCTGGTATGAACGTGTATACAGCCTCCCAAACAGACCACCAGAAGCCCTCCTAGCCGCCATTCAACACGATGGTGTCGAACTCTTTGGTGTTACCTTGAATGCCGAGAAATCCTTGAGTATCCAACGTAATTTTAAGGTTGGCATGGACCTTCCTGCTTGCCTTGCAGGCTATGTTTTCTCTGATCCTATTTGGATGAATTACCTTGACCTCAACATTTGCTCGACCAACGGCGCTCTCTCGATCTTTAGAATCGACCTTTCGGACCTAGCTAAATCCATCCTCCTCAAGGCCACAGTACCCAATTTCCAGGGTCGTAGAATAATTCAAAATGAACTTGAATTTGAGCACCCTAATCCTTTCAAACGCGACTTTATCGACATTCTGGATGAAAAACGCGACTCTTTCGTTGAGGACTGGAAGATCATGCAAGCTTCTTGCCAAGTATATGGCATGGCTTACTGCCCACTAGGTGGGATTCTGTCGGTTTGCTACCGTTTAAAACCAGAGGGTGTCCTCGAGTATCCCATAAAAGAGCGGGAACGATGCACGCTCTCTTGGCAGCTCTGTAGAGACTGGTCGGAAATGTTTGATTCTTCTCAAGCAGTCGAGTCAGCCAAGCCCTTCACACTACATGGAGTTCCTGGAGAAGCGTTTGTGAGCGATATTCGTTTCCTCGTGGATCCTGAAGATGCGGAGGACTCGTTCGGTAGGATGGAGCAAGTGCTCGCAAATGGGATGATTGAGTCTTGGGGATTCTCTCTCGTTCTTGCTGGGGAAACTGAAACCCATCGATTCCAAGACGTTAAATCATCAGACCTCGCCGATCAAATCTCATTGTGTCTCTTCAACTCCAGCGAATCCGTTTTGAACCGAGCTAGGAACTTGGTAGGCCTTCTGAAAGCGGGTAAGGTTGCTCCGAAGAAGCCTGGAGTTTTGACAGCACAAACCGGGACTACGAAGTTGATACTGGGCACCATCCTCGAGATTCCCGTACTGGGACGGTCATATGTACGAACTCCGAAGTCAAGAATGATCCTGTGGCTAACCGCTAGCTTGGGAATCATTGCTTTCTATCGCGATGAAAGGATCTTTAAACTTTCGATTCAAGCGCTGGAGAACTTAGATTACCGTTTTAAACTCGGTATCGCGTATGAGAAGAAAGTCATCGATGAGAGGAAGGAGATATTGAAAAATCCTGGGGACTTGGATTTGTTAGTCAAAATGACCAAAAAAATCGACAGGATGAACCAAGGGGTGGAAAAGTGCAATGTTTGTGAAGCAGGTGTGCCGTTCGATGACCTGATGAATGGAAGGTGTGAAAAGGGACACTTATTCAGTATGTGTTATTCTTCTTTGTTTTTGGCCCATACTGGAACACTAACGATCATGAAATTATTTAGAACGCTGCGCCCTCACATTTTTGATAATTACTGATCCAAACTCACGGGTTTGTGGGGTCTGTAGTCGAGAGTATGTTTCAAGAAAGATGGTGGAGGATGATGAAAAGACACCCGCTTTGCGTGATGCCCGCGATGAGAAGATGGATGCTTCCGAGCCGACATTGCTTAGGATTTTGTTTGATGCTGTGGATACTTGTGTATTTTGTGGTGGGAGTTTTTATGACAAGGAGGAGTTTAGGAAGGGGGGGGAGCGGTAGACGGGTCTTCATGCTTATGTTATTTGGGTACGGAATTATTGCATTGTCTAGCTATAGTAAATTGATGTAGCTAGCAAGATGGTGGGAGCTGTGGCTCTATGTATACTATGAGACTGAATGTATACTACGTTTCAATCACCCTTAAAATTCATGTTACACGAATTTGGTTGTCTCGTACCCGCCCCCCCCCCCCCCCCCCGACTGTGTTGGAATTCGGATCTTCGGTGAGATATGGTGCTATAGTTGTTACAGCTTGTCATGATACTAATGCAAACGTGAGTGGTAGTCTTGGAATTGTGGGTAGGATTTGAAGCCCCTGAACGCTTATTACATTGCTGAAGCTGGAAACTTTTGCCTTACTTAATCAGGCGTATGAAAAATTAGATAATTGAAGTGAGCTTAGGCAATATTTACACTTGGAAATATATGTCCCTCATTCTCCAGATAAAATGTGAGCCCTCAGCCAATTGGCGAATTCAGCATATCTCAGGAAGTATCCATATGCGACCAGGTACCGGCTATAATTATATCTGAACTCAAAGCTTTTAGAATTTATATTGAACTGAACATGATGATTTTCTCTAATCGTTTATCCAAAGTTAGTGAATTAAGCTTATCCTATGTTACACAGCTTTGTTT